GCAAATTGATTTGCAGAACGCCCAATTTAACGTGAAATGGCATACATTTTGCAGCTACTACCTAAGTGGATTTGTCAATCTTCAACAGGGCAGTCATTGAAAAGCCGGTTGAGCCTCTGTCGGTCGCTGAGCGTCCTTCCATGAAGCTGTTTTAGTGGCAGCAGACACAATACTTCGTGTACAAATAGATAAATGTGCAGAACGCACCGGTGTTTATTGTTCTCCTAATTTCCTTAACAACGACCGTTTGCGATGAAGAATCTCTACAATTGACTCAGTTTTACAAATGACCAAAAACACACGGCAAAGTACCCGAACATCACCCAGTCAGCGGAGTCGCATTTGTGGCCTTTGACTACCGATGTGACCAATGGCTGAATTCGCTACCGTTGCCTCAGGTGGGCTCTCTGTATCGTTCGCTGAATCCGTCACTATGACTGGACACCTAAGTCAAAAAACTTGTAGTGAATGTTTGGAAAAATAGTTCCAACCTAACAGAAACCGGGAGAAAGAGGGAACATGGTCGAAAGGGTAATGTGGGTTAATGACTTGCCCCAGTTATCGACACCTAAAATGTATTCGTCTCCAGGATCATTTAACCCTGGCCTTTATCTCAATACTACAACATAGTGGAGGTAGTGCTGTTGTTGCTTAAATGGAGCAGAGAAATTCCTCACCGATCTGTTTGGGATTAATTACACGTAGTTTTGATACGCAAAGGAAAACCAAACCAAATTATATGACGTGATTAAAATTTTCCCACAGTCAAACGCAGGCGAGCCATGATGGGTTTACCTCATAACGATCACTGACTAACTTTTTGAGACTGACGCCGCAAAAGCAGCTAGCAATAGTTTGTATCTTCCATAGGCATAGATAAGTCGTGACGCCCGTGCAGCTCAGAATAAAAGCTGAAGCATCTCTCTTATAAAATGGTTTTGAAGCGTAGAAGCGGTCGGAATTTCTTCAACCATCAATAAGTGAGATAATGAAGCTGAGCTTGCCCAGCCTCTGATCACATGCTTGTGTGACGTCAGTAACACTGAGAATAAAGGAAAATTGCCCCCTCAGGGTAGCCTGTTGGAGCACCGATGTTTGCGAAGCATAGCATCAAATTAAAGTCCAACGTTGTTAACATGACAGTATCGCTGCGAGTTGTAAACTGCACTATCAAATTATGATGCATGTCGTGGAAACACGGAGTTCATTTCTATGAAGCTTGATATCACCCGATACTCATGTGTTCGTAGATGTTCGTAATGACTGATGGATGTTTAAAGGAAGTCAAATGTGCGAAATACGCTTCGGTATGTCATCAACCTTGCTTCAATTTGCGCAGCGTGCTCTAAAAAAAAGAAGGAATCCAAAATCCCAGTTAAATGACACACTTAATCATCATTCTGTAAGCTCTTTATCGGTGATCTGGCCACTGTTCACATCTGCATGCCTTTCATGCGCAGCAGAAGGTACCACACAATTAATACGCTTAAATCCTAACCAACCGACGCAATGCCAGCAGGTGGCGGGTGACTGATAAAATCTATTCCCCGTGGGGCAATCGTCCTGCTTGCTGGGCACACTATCAGACTTGATGAACGCAGGCATTTGCGAAAAGAAATTAACAGTCCTTACTATCCAGCGGCTGCATGTTAGCTACAAGTTAGCTGAACGTAGTGTGAGTTGTCAAAAGGAACTTCCGGCCTCCTGAAGAGGAGGGTCTAAGATGAAAAATCTGAAAAATCGTAATTTTTGACCATTTTGGAAAACCATACAAATGTCAACTGCAGTCATCCTAGAATATAAATCTGCGAATCATTTTCCGGTTAGCATGTTTTGTAATTGCAGTATTTCAGCATTTTGTGAAGAATGTGTGCCTTGTTTTTCTATGTATTCAAGCTCATTATATATGCGTAAATTTTAAAATGTTGCATCTCGGCTTGTAGACGTCCTAGAAACTTCATTCAAGTTGCATTCGATTCGGCTTTGCAAGGCCCATGTGGTAATTCCGCATTACCATGCAATTTAAAGGAGCCATTTCCTTTGGTTCTTAAAGTGAGAAAAGAGCCATTTGAACCAATCAGCGAGCTCGTCTAATCGGTTGCCAGTAGGCAAGGTATCGGTGAGCGAGGTTGTCTGACAAAGAAGGCAATGTTAAACATCCGAGGACATTATGGGGCTGCAATAAGAAGAAATACTAATAATGTGCCTCGGATGCAAAAGATATATGGGCCATATGGGAGCACCGCAACCGTGATCACACTAACTGTGGAGACTGATTTCCTTCCAAGAAGCATCCAGCTGGAGACTCTGACAGGAATGCTCTCCTTCCTTATGTGTGCAAGGCTATCAGGCCTGTTTTTGAAACTCTTGCCAGTGAGACATTACTGTCAAAGTGTGCCCATGGAGGAACATAAAATACAAATGAAAGTTTTCACAATATAATTTGGCAAAGGTGTCCAAAGGCTGGTTTTTTTGGAAGGCAAAGGCTTACTCTTGCAGTTGCTGATGCTGCAGTGGTTCTCAATGATGTAGAGAGGGGTAGGCTGCCTATATTTGAGAAGTTGGGGATGTCTACTGGATTTTATACCAGATTGTGTTGTAATGAACTAGACAGAACAAGAATTCATGCAACAGCTGCCGGAATTCTGCGAGCTGAACGACGAGCACGGAAAGTAGCGGCTTAAAGGTAGTGTGAAGACATCGAAGATTTCTATCTTGCTGGTGCCCATGAGTAGTCCAGGTTAGTTTTTCTACGTAAATCCCATCATGGGACATCAACAAAATTTGTATAAATTACCGATATACCAGCAAAGTTTAAATGACTTCCATTTTTCATGCACTTCAACTTTAGCCATTTTGCTCAAAACTGCGTTTTTTCACTCTTACGTCAGCGTTCTGCGGATAATTTCAAAACTAATGGTCCAAAGTCAATAAAATTTGGAGGAGATGCTCATCTTTAGTTTCTGCATGGAATAAACTACTTTTAAGTGTCCTACACTTGTGGTCAACTTTTAATCTCAGTTCAGATTTTTATGCAAATCTGAACATTAGTATTGGAAGATCTAATTCAGTTACAGAGTTGAGTATAGTTCATTCTAAAGCTTAACTATATCTAAATAACTGCAAAACATTTTAGCTCTATACATAGAATACTTTTTGATGGGACCCAGAACGCCGCAACAACCAATTGGCATCACTAATTTAGGTCCCTTACTAAAATGGGAATAAAAAATAATAAACACACTTATCTTTATTTCTCTCTCATATATTATTTGCATGATAAATAATAATATTCTCTGTAAAATTTCATGAAGATCCGATTACATCTAGACATATATATCGAGCTTTGAAAAACACACAATTTTTGACTTTTTCAGCTTAGACCCTCCGCTTAAAGAAGTGTTCACCAGTTCAGACGAGGCAAGATGTGAAATTATTTTGGTGGCATTTAACCATTGATGCTGCACACATGTCAGCTGGCAGAGTGAATGTTGGCCTGGGTAAGACCTATTAATGCATAAATTCTTAACAATATGCGTGCCATGCACATAATCTGTATATCTAGTCAGATCCATCTCAGCTAGTGATATTACGCGTGGTTAGAGCACCACCGAAATAATCCATGTCATGGAAAGACGGAGAGCATTAAGTTGATTCAACGACATTTTCTTAGGAAATGCAACAGAGTCAAACAATTAAGGCACGCACAACGGTGTACGGTCACAATCACCTGTGAGTTAGTGAACTGGCGAAGTCATTTCGGACGGTGGTGAAGCGTCTGCAACCAAATTCCCAACCTCAGTTGAAAATTGGATTATTGACGTATGTGAATATAAGCGTCTTCTCGCGTGAGGCTAGAATACACGCCTGCTTCTACGGTACAGTAATTTATTGCTTACAATCCGGATTTTTCGTTGCAGAACCTACCATGTTATTTGACTGGTGGTGTGATTGTTATCTTCCGGTGTGCGTAGTAGTAATGCTGCGGGCGGCAAATTTGACTGTAATACAAGGAGGAAACTGTACGAGTGCTATCTAGCCGATGCAAAAGTCTTGTTATACGGTTGCCAACTATTTGTGAAGGTGCAGTTTTGCAGTATGTAACCATCTTGATGCTGAATGTTTACTTATAGTTATTTGGCTGCAGATTTGCCGATATGCTAACATATCACTGTCATTGCTATTAGTACTATCATCGCAGTATTTGCAGTTGTTGTTGAAGATGATGGGGGTTAATTGTGATGATAAGGAGGATGTATTTTATCCTACAGTTTCACTGGCCTATGCGCTCAAAAAAGGTGAAACGACTGTCAGTTTATGCAATTGTTCGCTGCATAGGATTGTTCGCGTGTGGTGTCAACATCATGTAAGCAACACAGGAGTTAAAGACCGAGTGTTTGGGCGAAATGGCCCAACTGCCTAAACGTTATTCGCCATGCATGCGTCGGCTCGGCCACGTATTATGTATGCAGGCCTATCGTCTTCGCTTTCGAGCCTTATTTTCGCTTCCCGGAAGAGACTGGAAAATATTTCTGCGGTGGAAAACCAGTGGTGTGGAGAAGGAGCATGAAGAAAGCAACTTAATGCTTTGCTTCAGTTAAACGAGTCCGCCTTCCAGGATAGGAACAATGCGACTCCGACTCATAGTGGTTAGAAAGCTTGGATCTTACGGCCCGAAACAAACATGTTCGGCGCCAGTGTTATTCTACCGTATCACCCATTAGTAAGCCTTTATTCGTACACCGAAAATCTGTAAAACAAAAAAGACCCAAAGTGGCGTATGAAAAGCACAAAAACTGTTTTCTTTAGCCACTGTGTTTCATCTTTAGCTTCTTCCACCATCGGTTTGATGGCACAATATATATATATATATATATATATATATATATATATATATCATTAAGCGTAGCCTTTATTGTGAACGTAGTTTCCTCTTCTCTCTACTTTACCTTTTCGTCTTCTTTCTTGTTGGAGTTGACACGTATCATGCGCTTTCACGCCATCCATCTAGCCGCTTCGCGCTCGGTCCTATACGCGCAGCTGTGACAGTACCACCCAGCTAGCCACCAGATGTAATGAAATAATAATGTATTAGCTGTACTCCGTAACAGTGCTCTGCTGCCGTGCGACCAACACCAGTCGCAGGTGTGCTGAGTATAGCGCTCCGTTGGCCGGCAGGGAGAAGGCGTCGCTCTGTATGTGAACTGTAAACTTGACATTTTGATGGCTTGCTTATTTCAGTCGGCAGACAAATCTGTTTAAACTCTGTCGGCTGAGATTAACACATCCACGACTCACGTTACAGTTGTAATGGTGTATAGAAGTCCTGGGAACGTATCCAAAGAGGTACTTGACTTTATTCACTCCCAGTCTGCAAACAAGTGTTTGGTGATGGGCGACTTCAACCTCCCGAAGATTTTCTGAGCAGATCCTCCTTGCGACTCAGCGTCAGGCACATTCGGCACTGATCTAATTGAGCTTACGCTTCAATTGCCGTTGTATCAGTTCATTGACCTCCCCACTAGGTACCTGAACGCCCAAGTACCGTCTATCTTAGACCTTGTATTTGCTAAGTCACTCGCTTTTGTTAGTGACATTACTTACGGACCTCCACTGGGTTCCAGTGATCATGTTTGCTTGCTCTTCAGTTGTACTCTGTATAGACGCTACCACAGTATTGTTGACTCTCTCCGGAACATATGGCACGCAGAGTATCAATCAGTGAAAGTCAAGGCTTCGGGTTTCCATTGTGAGATCTCAGGCGATGATACTGTCCAGGGTGCGTGGAATAAATTTAAGTCCTACCGGTCCCTTCATCAGTCACAAGGAGAAAAGAGGCACAAGCACAGCTGCCCTGGATAGATTCCACTGGCAGGCATCTGCTCACAAAGTGGTCTAAATGTTGACGGACTTACCGATACTTATGACAAGTAACGTAAGGCTAGTAATAGGTGTAAGCAACACCTAAGGAATGCTCGGTTCAATTTTAAGAATGGGTTAGCAGTCGAAGCTTCAGAGAATCCAAAAAGATTCTTCGCATATGTCAAAAGGCGCTGCGGTTCGAACACCTCAATTCCAGTATTGATGCGTGATGACGGCACTCATGCGTATACGGACTATGACAAGGTCTGCGTACTTAGTGGGGAAGATGCAACAGCGTTTGTAACGGAAACCTCTGACAGGCGTTGAGCTGGTTTGCAGGATCCCAGAGGGTTCAGGACTATCTGAATTTATCGTAGCGGAGACGAAGTTCGTAGGCTGTTACAAGGGCTGAACCCTTCTAAAGCCTATGCGGGTGTTTTAATTCACCCAAAACTGTTGCATGAGTTGGCTGCAGAACTAAGTGGACCGCTTGCTGTGGTGTTTCAGAAATCGCTTGACAACTGTGCATTATCTTCCGAATGAAAAGAAGCTATCATCTGTCCCATCTTCAAGAATGGGGACAGGAGTATGCCTTTTAGTATGCCAGTTAGTCTGACGAGTATAGCAGTCAAACTCCTTGAAAAACTGATGAGAGATTCATTGGAGAGTCATCTGGGTAGATTTACACAACTTAACAATGTACAAGACGGATTTCGGAAGGGATTTTCATGTCTGACGAATCTACTGGTGGCTCGGGAAAGTTGGGCGGATGCAGTGGATAACGGCCACGCACTGGACGTGCTTTTCGAAGGCCTTTGACAAGGTACCCCATTTGAGGCTCGCACAGTAGCTGACCTCCTACGGGGTATCTGGACGCGTCCTTCGTTTGGTGACTGCCCTCTTGGATGATACAGTACAGTGTGTACGGGTAGGCCGTGGCCTATCGTTTATGCAGTCTGTCCTCAGTGGCGTGCCGCATGGCTCGGTCCTTGGACCGCTGCTATTCTCTATGTGAATGACCTACCCGCGGAGCTTGAGGTACCATTGCTGCTATTTGCTGATGACCTGAAGCTGTGGAACATGGTCGATGTTCCTGGATGTTCCGAAGCTATTCAGCGAGCATTGCATAAGTTTTGGGACTGGTCCACTTTATGGTTATTGCCCATAAATCAGGCAAAGTGCTCCGTTCTTCGAATTGGAGGAGGTTATCCTGCTACGAAGTACTTGGTCGGTGGGGTCGAACTCACCGTGTATCTAACCAGGTTGATCTAAGCGTCGTACACTTCGGCTTTACACTCCCGCGACAACTGAAAGAAGGCCGCAACCAGAGGTTTCCGCATGTTGTGGTTAATACGACGTTCTTTCGGAGTCTTGACGGACGGCAGCTTTACGAAACTGGTCTCGGCTGTCGTTCAGCCTCATCTGAAATACTGCGTCCAGACATGTCCGCTCTGCCTCATCCGGGACAAAATGGTGTTACAGAGGGTTAAATGGGTGGGTACTAGGTTAGTTGAGGGATTACGAGGACGGACATACCACGAGAGTCTACTCAACGTGTGCCACATGCTAAGGATGATGTTGCATTATTGATGCTTCTTCACCGCGGTTGGGCTAAACGAACTTACAATCAAACTAGGTCTTTTTAAGCTCAATATATTTCATTCCACTTTATTTGGTTTGCTCTGCCTACCTGGCTAATTTTCTATTAACTGGCCACGTTGCTTACGCTAAGTGCGCTTACCTTCGATAAATTTGTTGCGTTTGTAGCATTTTTAAGTAACCTGTGGACATTTTTTACATATCGCGGATGCGTTGGTAACCAACTCACTTCATTTGGTAATTGAGGGAAGTGTTAGGCCACCGTATCTGTATGTATTATTGGATTTATTTTATTTCAGCTTGTCGTTTAAAGTGAATGGCTGTTGCTTGATAGCCCCGGAGTGCCTGCGCTTGATGTGCATGTTGACAAGGTGTCTACCTGTCTATTACCCATTATCTCGTCCATATTGGCTCTAGGAGACAGTTGGTCATTGCTGGAGGGAACGGGGTGCACGGTCATTCGGGCCGTGCTAGGCTCAAAGAGCGGTTCCATGCACTCAGTGTGGAGCGGACTACGGTCCAGCCACCGCCTTGTGTGCGCTTGATTCCCAAATACAGCGTGCTTGTGCTTGCCTGTGAAGGAGTGTGGGCCGGCTCCGTTGATGAAACGTGGCTCCCATCCACATGCCTCCTGGTCTTATTCATTCGGGTTTACACTGGATATGGGGTGTGTGGTTGGAGCTGTGGGTGGTGCACCGCAAGCCATCCATGGTCCTTCTGTAGGCGCAGGCGTCCTGTGGCTGGCCACAGTGACAGGCAAATCCGAAACCGGATGCCGCCAACCATGCAATCTACATTCTGCTTTTTAAAATCGATTTGTAGATCACATAACCGGAGCTTCACCAGCTGCACAATGCTAACTAGCATGACGCTTAGAGCGCCGGTGCATCGCAGAAGAGGAAGTTCCCTGGAAATTCTGTGGCAAGTGAACAATCCCGACAATTACCCGACTAGCGATTATCACGATGTCTCCATTTCATGTTCCACTCCGCAGGCTAGTGATGAGAGTGAGCATAGTTATAGTTCCAGTTGTCCCTCAGCCATACTGAATTTACCGGGGCTTATGAAAACACACGTACTAAACGGATGGAAGGCAGACGCGCAGAGACGACTACCAGAAGTTGCATTGCACATGGACAATCTTTGGGATGGACTAAGTAAAAGGTTGAACCTAACTGAAACGGTACGTCAGTATGGTAGTATATTAAATCGGGAAGGAATCGAGGCATGGTGACAATTATTTTATGAGCACCAAATGGCTGCACCCTAGACGTGTGGTATAGGTCGTTAGCAAATAGCCTACTGCCACAGTAGAGTACACATCGGTAGGTACAAACGGTTTAGTTAGACAATTACACAAAAATTGCGACCAATGTTTGGAAAGTCGCATGTCTGACAGTGGGCAACGGGACTTAGTTGATGTAGGGGTGGGTGTCCTCGCGGTATACTCACCCAACACGCGACTGGTGGTGGTCGCGCGGCAGCGAAGCGTCGTTACGGCGAACAGCTGAAACATTTATTTTTTAATTTTAGTTAATGTCACCTGTCAATACCAAAGGGTGCGCATCAACCGTTCTTTTAGTAGGTGCACATACCTCAGGACCAAATGACCGGACCGGTCGGAGACACAGAGACCCAGAAGTGAACAATGCACCGCATTCGCATGCTGTGTGATCATCTTCCTCATCCGCTACTCAAATCAGACTGCACATGTAGAATACAACACCTAAGTGCATACTATTTCACTCTACCAGTAATTTAGTTACCCTTCTACCTAGCAGTTACTTCATTATTGCTGTATCCGCTTCCTTCAAATATGGATGCCCATGATTTAAGGCGGTCAGGTCTAAATTTTGAAGAAAACATCAACAGTTCGTATTCGGGAAGTTTTGTCATGCCTGCGAAAGTGGTTGTCAGGCTGACCTTTAAACCAAACCCATACACGGTTCTCGTACCATTGATCATGATGTCTGTGTCTCTATACAGTTTGTGACATCTCACACTTAAGTTTGGATAAACGCATGTGCATGTGTTGTATTCGAACTACCATTGGATACAGATGACGCCAATCATTGTATATATGTATACCGTAGCCCCATGCTGAGACTGATGTTGCATTCATGATGCATCTTCACCGCAGTTGGGTTAAACCAACTTACACTTAAACTAGGTCTTTTTAATGTGGATAAAATTCAGTACGTTTTAGTTAATTTGTTCTGCGTACTTGATAATCGTCTCCAAACTTGCACACGCCGCTCATGCAAACTGTGGTAAACTTGCTTAATTGCATCGCGTGGTATTTATTAAATAACTCGGACATTTTGTACTTATCACGGATTCACTTAAAACCAATTTCTTCTATATGCTCATTTAGCGAGCATTTATGTCGTCATATGCGTTTACTTTATTCGATATCGGCATTTCGAATGATTGGCTGTTGTTTGACATCCCCGGGGTGGCTGCGCTTGATGTGCATGTTGACAAGGTGCCTACCTATCCATTACGCACTACCTCGACCATCTGGCTCCAGGAGACAGTTGGTCGTTGCTGGAGGGGACGGGGTGCACGGTCCTTGTGGTCGTGCTAGGCTCAAAGAGTGGTTCCATGCACTCAGTGTGGAGCGGACTACGGTCTAGCCATCGCCTTGTGTGCACTTGATTCCCCAAATACAACGTGCTTGTGTTTGCCTGTGAAGGAGTGTGGACCGGCTCCGTTGATGAAACGTGGCTCCCATCCACATGCCTTCCGGTCCTAGTCC